AATTATATTATATTATAATAATATAATCTAATAGAATACTTGAAAAGTCACTTTGGTTTAATATCAAAGTTCGTCAATTCGTGACCTGAATTCTAGCCATTTAACGTCCCTTTCACCTTGCACAACACCTTGCATATCATCATTTGAACCAGATCCGTACCTCTTAATGTGAAAGAAAACTTCAGAAAACAAATTATTTATAGGCTTGGTAGTACAAGGGTTAAACTGGCTATCTGTTAGAGTTTCACTAGATTAATTTACGATTTCACCCCATCGTGATGCAACAGCTTTTAGTGTTTCATCCGAGATAGGTGGTGGGACACCGTGCAAGTGAATGATACGTGTTAACGAGCAGGCATCAGACACTAACAGATTTTGACCTTTGACTGTCAGAGCTCCAACATCTAACAGTTTCTCTTTAGAGGTACTGTTTTCAAGGAATAAATACCAATTGTTTTTCGATTCAAGAGTGCAAAAGCCGGTGATAGCTGTGTCACCTACATGCTCAGCAGCAACCTTTACAATATGTACGGGCTCATAAGAAAAATTTTCCGGAAGGATTACCTTCACTGCTAAGCGTAAGATGTTGTTACGTATACTCATTTTGCTAGCTGAAAATATATATTAGCAAAGCACCGTAATGGTGCACAGACAATATGATTATGTTACCAAAGAAGATTGATTATTGAAGTGAATACAACAATGAAGTAAAAGACAAGGGAATTTCTTAATAAATGAATAATAAACTTAACTGAAATGAAAAGTATTAGCCGAAAAGGCCGAGAAGCGATATATAGATTACTATGAGCCCACCGCTTGTATTTATTTCTTTTCTTACGTTGCACACTAGTTGGGAAGTAGGCTTTGCTTATACTCATCCATCTTGCACTGCACCGTCATATTTTGTGTGTTTTCTTCCAAATGTTCTTTCTTTTCTGTATTTTAGACCATCAGATATTGTAAACCAAAAAGAAAAACCAGTGTTTTTCGATGCTCCGAAAGAGAAAAGTCCATTCCGACTTCCTGGCAGCATCTAAGTATCAGAAATATTGTGATGCGATGAACAAAACAAGTATTCATTTTTGCAAATACTTATCTTGTGATTTAAAAATGTGATACACGGTAAAATAACACAGCCCGTTAGGGACGTTCGTCACTTTCCATCCCGTCAATGTGATCATGCAGAACAACTTGTGGAAGAGAAGTGATGTGAGACTCAAAGATATGCCATAATGTCATGGATGCTCGATGAGAGTTTTGAAACTCATGAGCAAGCGTAACTTGAAGATCTCATTTCATATGATTTTGTACAAGTATTCCCACGCGAAGGTGGGAGTGGACAGATTCCGACTTTACTGCAGTGTCGGACCCATCCTGATCGGGACC